CTTCTATTATATTTCAGTTTGAAAATTTATTTTTAACGGCAATTTAAAAAATTGCGTGTTTTATTTGCAGTGGAGTGACAATTACGCGAGTAATTCGGGGACAGATTATTTGGAAAATATCTCGGGAACTGCGAGTTCTAGTGAAAAATGTCAGAAAATATCTTTTGTAGCTCTTGAAATTTTCTAGAAAAAACATTTTTTGACAATTTTTTCTCAAACTCTTCAATTCGGCGATATCTTCAAAGACATTTTGATGCAAAAAAAATTGAACAACAAAACAATATTTTCTTTTCATTTAAAGAATTAATTTTGTTCTTAATATGAGAGAATTAATTAAACAAATTATTCTCCTATCCAAAATGTGTGGAAAAAATCCAAACGAGAATAAAATGCGCTGCTGAACCCTAGCGTATAATAAAACCAATAAGCAAACTCCTTCGAGAGCCGTCAGCGTCATACTTCCGCTTTTAGAACAGTCCCGGCTAATTAGCCCGACCAATTTGTCGACAGACAAATAAACTCTTCTCCCGATTTATATTTGCGTCTCTCCCCCGTTTTTTTTCCGTACCGTAATGCATGTAAAACAGACAAAGACGACAGAGTCATCTATATCTAACCCCTTTCTCGAACTTCAAACGAAATAATTCAGGCATTCTCTGTAGCTACGGACTCGGTTAACGAGCCGCTCTCCCCCCCCCCCCCNTCCACTTGTGGAGCAAACCTTCCCTCAACACACATCCGGGGATTCACTCACAGCGAAAAGTGCGGGGTGACGAGGGGTCGCTTCATTATATCGAGGGGCAGGGGCGGAGGGGTGTTCGACGTCGATCACTCGACAATGGTACTTCGCTAATTTCCAACTGGAATTGCACTCCTCGGCGAAATCATTAATTAAAGCCCTTCCATTGCAAGTTTCCAGGTTTTTTAATCCCCTAAAAAATCGGTTTCGCTCGCTTTATGATTTTCAGGGGTTAATTGAGTCGTCAAAAGTCTTTCAGAATTTTTTTTTGTTGACGGAGGGAGCAATGATTTTAAAGTTGTTTTATTATTTTGAAGTTGATGATTTTAATTAGGGTCGAGTTGAAGATAGTTGGGAAATTGTTTTCTGTTAATTTTCATTATTTTTCAGGATGAAAATTCATTTTTTGCGGCAATTTAAAGAATTGTGTTTTATATGTAGTAGTCATCTGAGGCGGATTATTTGAAAAATATCTTTGGGATGTCCCTAGGAGCTTCTCATCTCCACTTGTGGAGCAAACCTTCCCTCAACACACACCCGGGGATTCACTCACAGCGAAAAGTGCGGGGAGACGAGGTGTCGGTTCATTATATCGTGGGGAAGGGGCGGAGGGGTATTCGACGTCGATCACTCGACAATGGTACTTCGCTAATTTCCAACTGGAATTGCACTCCTCGGCGAAATCATTAATTAAAGCCCTTCCATTGCAAGTTTCCAGGTTTTTTAATCCCCTAAAAAATCGGTTTCGCTCGCTTTATGATTTTCAGGGGTTAATTGAGTCGTCAAAAGTCTTTCAGAATTTTTTTTTGTTGACGGAGGGAGCAATGATTTTGAAGTTGTTTTATTATTTTGAAGTTGATGATTTTAATTAGGGTCGAGTTGAAGACAGTTGGGAAATTGTTTTCTGTTAATTTTCATTATTTTTCAGGATGAAAATTCATTTTTTGCGGCAATTTAAAGAATTGTGTTTTATATGTAGTAGTCATCTGAGGCGGATTATTTGAAAAATATCTTTGGGATGTCCCTAGGAGCTTCTCATCTCCACTTGTGGAGCAAACCTTCCCTCAACACACATCCGGGGATTCACTCACAGCGAAAAGTGCGGGGTGACGAGGGGTCGCTTCATTATATCGAGGGGCAGGGGCGGAGGGGTGTTCAACGTCGATCACTCGACAATGGTACTTCGCTAATTTCCAACTGGAATTGCACTCCTCGGCGAAATCATTAATTAAAGCCCTTCCATTGCAAGTTTCCAGGTTTTTTAATCCCCTAAAAAATCGGTTTCGCTCGCTTTATGATTTTCAGGGGTTAATTGAGTCGTCAAAAGTCTTTCAGAATTTTTTTTTGTTGACGGAGGGAGCAATGATTTTGAAGTTGTTTTATTATTTTGAAGTTGATGATTTTAATTAGGGTCGAGTTGAAGACAGTTGGGAAATTGTTTTCTGTTAATTTTCATTATTTTTCAGGATGAAAATTCATTTTTTGCGGCAATTTAAAGAATTGTGTTTTATATGTAGTAGTCATCTGAGGCGGATTATTTGAAAAATATCTTTGGGATGTCCCTAGGAGCTTCTCATCTCCACTTGTGGAGCAAACCTTCCCTCAACACACACCCGGGGATTCACTCACAGCGAAAAGTGCGGGGAGACGAGGTGTCGGTTCATTATATCGTGGGGCAGGGGCGGAGGGGTATTCGACGTCGATCACTCGACAATGGTACTTCGCTAATTTCCAACTGGAATTGCACTCCTCGGCGAAATCATTAATTAAAGCCCTTCCATTGCAAGTTTCCAGATTTTTTAATCCCCTGAAAAATCGGTTTCGCTCGCTTTATGATTTTTAGGGGTTAATTGAGTCGTCAAAAGTCTTTTAGAAGTTTTTTTTTGTTGACGGAGGGAGGAATAATTTCCAAGTTGAAGTCTTTTTTATTATTTTGAAGTTGTAGTTGATGATCTTAATTAGGGTGGTGTTGAGGAAAGTTGGGAAATTGTTTTCCTTTAACTTTTAGTATTTTCACAGGTAGAAAATTGTTTTAATGATACTTTGAAAAATTAGAGAATTATTCCGGTCATTTGAGGCGGATTATTTGGACAATATCTCGAAAACATGCCTCCAACCTTCTCATTAATTAAAGCCCTTCTATTGCAAGTTTCCGGGTTTTTTCAATCCCCTGAAAAATTGGTTTCGCTCGTTTTATGATTTTCAGGAGTTGGGTCGTCAAAACTTTTTCAGAGTTGATTATATTTCAGTTGAAAATTTATTTTTTGCGACAATTTAAAGAATAGTGTTTCATTTGTAGTAGTCATCTGAGGCGGATTATTTGAAAAATATCTTTGGGATGTTCCTAAGAGCTTTTCATCTCCACTTGTAGAGCAAACCTTCCCTCAACACACATTCGGGGATTCACTCACAGCGAAAATTGCGGGGAGTTGAGGGGTCGGTTCATTACATCGAGGGGCAGAGGAGAGGGGTATTCGACGTCGATCACTCGACAATGGTACTTCGCTAATTTCCAACTGGAATTGCACTCCTCGGCGAAATCATTAATTAAAGCCCTTCTATTGCAAGTTTCCAGGGTTTTTAATCCCCTAAAAAATCGGTTTCGCTCGCTTTATGATTTTCAGGGGTTAATTGAGTCGTAAAACTCTTTCAAAAGTTTTTTTTGTTGATTGAGGGAGGAATATTTTCAGAGTTGAAGATTTTAATTAGGGCGGAGTTGAGGGGAGTTGGGCGAGCTGGGTTAATTTCCATGTTTGCAAGCATTTTACAATAATTTTGTTGCCTGAAGTTTGAATATTTTTTTACTCAGAGAAAAAAAATCTGAAAGTCTACTCTTTTTTAGCAAAAGTGGGAAATAATCGATAAAATGAGATTTTTGAGAATTTGAACACATTTTCAATCTCATATTCCCAGATTTTCAAATAATGACCAGAATTAATGGATGTTTATCAAAATCCAATAAATCCAGAAATATCGCAATTTCACAAGTGACATTATATTTTCTCCCAAAGTTCTACCTACATTCCAAAAAAGCCAATGCATTACACATCAAATAAAAAATCCTGAGCAATTTGCCCAAATTTCTCTCTTTACACGATTGAAAAAAAATCCACCACCCACTGCCCCTCAATCCACCAAAAAACAAGCGCCCCACCTCCCCAAACTTGTAAGTCTACATTTTGGGAAAATTTATGAAATTAAAAAAAATGTCATTTTTGAGAATTTGAACAAAATTTCAATCTCTTACACCCAGATTTTCAAATTACGACAAAATCCACGAATATTTATCAAACCTCCTGTAGAAAATCCAATGAATCCACTAAGAATAGCTATATTTTAATCAAAAATTTCCCAAAAATAATAAAATTCTCAAGAAATATCCCATTTACTTCCAAAGCTCTACTAAAATTCTAAAAAGCCAACGAGCCACACAAAAGCCAGAAATTCATGAGCAATTTCTGCAAATATCTCTCTTTACACGATTGAAAAAAAATCCACCGCCCACTGCAACAGCCCCCCAACCCCCGCAAACTTCCTCGCCTTCTCCAAGAAAACAAACAAACAAAAAAATAAAACAACAAAGAATTAAAACAAAAAAAGCACCATTGAGTGTCACATGGTCGCCGGGTCCCGCGCATCGAGTGACGGTACGTGTCGCGACACCGGATTACTTGGCGCGACTTTCAAGGAATCCGTATCGCTGACATCGAGGGCTCATGCACACAAACACAAAACTCGAGCAAGTATTGGTTAGAAAATAGTGGTAGATTCAAGTGGCAGCCATACAACAGAGTGAGATCGAGTCTTAAATGCCCCCAGACCCGGTAATTCGAGCAACCCCGAGAGAGTCTCCCGAGTTAATACACTCCTCTCCCTTTTAGCGTTTTCTCCCCCCCCCCTCACCTTTTGCCGCTTCTTGACTTCAACGAACCCCTTAATTAAATCCGACGCTGCGAAATCCGATCGAAACTCGAGTCGAGTCCAATCAACGGTTCCTAACGCTAATCAGAGAATTCCGAGGCATTTCAAATTGTTTATTCAATCAACTTCATTATTAATCAGTCGCAAAGGTGACTGAACCAATTACAGGCACTGTAATTTCGATAGTAATTTCTGTGCTCAATCGTCTTCACTGATTATAAATTCTCAGGACCAGAAACAATTAAAATGGCTTATTATTTTGTTTATGCGAATGTGTGGAAGGTTTTACGACGTCTGATGAGTTTGTTTATGAGTTTAGAGTCACGTTTGTTTAATTTACCTGGCAAGTTGGAGCCATGTGCGGACTTCCTGGCGTTGGGAGCAATCTTGAAGATTTCTTTCTCCCCTTCAATGGTTAATTATTATTACTCTCACTGGGATATTATCTCACTGTTTTTTTTAATTGTCATAACACAAAACATAACAAATGAAACAAAACAGAACAGAACAACAGAGTTATTATTTTATTTTTGCTCAACTCGCCACGCGAATTTCATTTATTTATGTTTATGTTTTAATTGTTTTTTTTTTGTTGATTGGGAGTATTAGTTGGTTTCTGTGTTTGTTTATTGCTGTGGTACGTGTAGTTGTCGACGTCAACTGTTGACTGGAGAGTCAACAGTTGTGAGACACGAGAGTAGGAGAGAACCTTGCGCCTCGGCGGCCGGCTGTAAACTGTCGCGTGCGACGTTCCACGGCACGCCACTAACGCCAATGAATCCCCCCCCCTCTCCTTCGCAATGTGGCAGCTCCATCACCCCTATTGCCCACGGCATCCCCACCACCCCCGGGGTATCCCCACCACGGGGGGTGCATCCCCACCAGGATGCTGGGGCTCTCCGCGGGACGATTTCATCCCTCCGTTCGGGGTTTATGTGCGTGTACGCGTGGTTCTATCTGCCTGGATGAATGTCAATTTTTATGGGGGTTTTATTATTTCGGAGAGTGGAATTGGATTTTAATGGAATTCAACGGTGAATTATTACGAGGTTTCACGCGGTTATTGCATTTAAGATTTTCAAAGTTATAGGAACATTGATTATTTTGTCTGTTTAACATAAAAATTGATGAATTGAGGCAGTGAATAATGATTTTGCTTGAACGTTTTATTATTCAAGTGAATTCATTTTTAAGCGCAGGGGCATGCGAATGTAAAGAATTTAATGAGAATTATTTTTGTAATTTTCGAATATTTTTTAACAAAAAATAAATTTATCAGAAGTTGAGTTATTCAATGCAATTTTTTAAAAATTATTTTGGATTGAATAAATAGGTTGCGATATAATAATGATACAATTGCATTTCACAATGAATATTCATTCTAATTTTCAGTTATATTCATTAAATGAATGAACATAAATTTTTATGAAGGTTTTAATATTGCGGAAAGTGAAATTGGATTTTAATGGAATTCAAGAATGAACTATGACAAAGTTCCACACGGTTTTATTCTATTGAAGATTTTAAAATTCATCGGAACACGGAATTATTTTTTGTATTAACCAAAAAAAAATGATAAAATGAGGATGTGAATGTTAATTTAGTTCTCAAGTTATTTTTCAAGCGAATTAATTTTCAATAGTAATGGAATCTAATGAGAATTAATTTCTTAATTTGTGAACAATTCTTTAAAAAAAAATGAATTTATGAAAAATTGTGTTCTTTAATTCTATTTATTTTTTGATGATTTTAGATTGAAATTAATTGATATCTTGGGATGCATTTAGTTAAGGGGTTTAAATACTTTATAATCATAACAATTATAAATTTGTAATTTAAATCTCATATTTCTTCTAATTTTTCGTGATATTCATAGAATGAATAAATTACATTACAGAATGGATTCAGTTGCGCGCTTTAGATATTTCATGACAATAATAATTATAAATTTGCATTGCGCAATGAATATCCGAAGAAATTTTATGCAAGAATATCGATGTTAGAGCGATGAATCGAATTCCAGAATAATCTGAATTCATCTCGCCCCCTATTTCGCCCCTCCGCTGTTGAATCCCGATGCTGGCTCCCCTCCACCACCCCCACCTTGGAGATGTCCTCCCCACTATTACCGGATTCTCCCCACCATTGATCCCCTATCATCCCCCTCTAGCCACACCTCCCATTACAAAAATTACACCGGCCGTTGATTTAGTGTTGCGCAGCAGTTCTACTCACTGCTGGGGGGGAATGACGGGATGAAGTGGAGAAGGGGCGGGTGGGGGGGGGGATATTGAGGATCACGAGGGGAATGGGAAACTAAGTAATGAAAGGGTTGCCGGTACGAGAGAATCACGGAATCATTCGCCAGATTAAATTAGAAAAGCTACGAGTTTTTTTTATTCACCTGGGAGGCGACTTGATGCATTCAATTTTCTTTCAATTAGAATTTAAAGACGATTATTCGTGCAGTGATGATTTAATGATTTATACCGTTACAAAAATTTTTCGGGTAATTAATTAACTAATTAATTACATAAATTTATAATTTTTTTGGCGATTAATTTTTTATTGATTAGAAATTAAATTCATCGATTTCACTTTCATCTTTGAAAGTGTATAAATTAATGAATTGTTGTTTATTTCGTCAATGAAATACTAAAATATAAATGAAATAGAAAAATGATGACATTAATCAAATAATTAATTTAATTAATTGAAGAAATTCATAAAAATTTGTTGTAAAAATTGGTTAAAAATTCTACTAATTCTAATATTGGAATAAATTTTACTCCACCACTTTAACTAATTACTTTAATTAAGTACACGAACTTATGATTTTTTCTTCAACCATTAATTTTCTATCGATTGAAAATTGAATTAATACAACAGTCAATTGTTAGCGATTTAACAATTCAATTGTTTATTGCTATTTTCATCTTTTGATCTCCATAAATTATTGAATAGTTGTTTATTGTATTAAATAAATATTAAAATCCAACTGAAATAGAAAAATTATGATATTAATCAATTAATTAATCAAATTAATTGAAGGAATCCGGCAAAATTAGTTGTAAAAATTGATTAAAAATTCAATTTTACTATAGTAAATTTCGCTCCACCACTTTACCTAATTAACATCCTCCAGAAAATCACAAAAAGATAAAACCCCCATAAATTCGTGTTAACAATAAGAATCACGAAATCATTAGCGAGATTAAACAGCACAGATTACGACCTCGCTTTCCCCCCAACTCCATTGAAACAAGCCATACCCATCTCCACCCATTCGACACACATTTTATTTCCCCCGCGAAACACCCAGAAACATCACCGGAACATCGCAAAATGGATTAGACTCCATCGATGGCCCTTTTTAATTACCTCAGAGTGGTTCTGATTAATTGAAAGAGAGAAACCGACGAAAAAAAAACGTAGAAACGAACGAAGAATAATGGGAGAAACGCACCCCGTTGAAGGCGCGCCAAATCTCGATAATTTGTTAGTCGAATTAATTGGAGAAGTGGAGTGATATGAGAAAATATCGAATGGAATATAATAAAGTTGGAATGAGTTGCAGTGAATTGAGTGCTCGGGATTATATACGATAAATTCGGCGGACTCTCGGGGTTGTGGGGGAGGTGAGGGGCTGGGGAGAGGAGAGGAGGGGAAGTGAGGGGGGATTGAGAAAGGACAGGAGGTGGGGTGAAAGTACTAATCACTTCTTGGGACTTTAATGGAGGTTTTCTGTACGCCGTCTACTTTGTCCTCGACTTATACTACTCCGGGGTGACTCCACTCACTCTTGGATTCAACGAAGATGCGGAAGAGGAAGAGAAAGGACATTCTGAGTGCTTTTGAGAAAAGACGTCTCAACGGTCGTCATTTTTATTTTTTCTGTAAGATTAGTTTATCGAGGATACGCTGTTGAAAAATTTTGGCTGAAATTTTGAGGTACACTTTAAGGAACTTTTATCCCGTTTTAGTTCAGACGTCGGCATAATCAGGAATTTTAAAGAATTGATTGGTTGATATTACTCCATAAACTTCGAATTATTGATTTAAGCGTCAATTGAATATTCAGTTTTTCGATTATTTTGTCAATGAATTGTCGAGTTTGGATGAATGACGATTATTTGGTTCATCGAAAATTGCTTTCGGGAATTTAGAATTATTTACTGAATGGTCGATTGACAATTCTATATTGTGAATTATTTAATTCGTTGACTGAAAATTTAGATTATCAATTATTTTATTATTTTTCAAAATTCAATGAAGATAAGGAAACTGCAGTCATTTTAAGGTACAACTTCTCTTTATATTAATCATCCAATGATTGATGCCAATCCCTGTTTTAGTTCTACTGAAAATTCAAGGAATTTTGTTATTGAAAATGCAGGATTTCCCGAAAACATCGGTGAGAATAGTAAATTTCAGGTCAATTATTCTCTGAAAATTACTTGATATCTTGGAAATTTCGTTAAATATATTTTTAAATTTTAGATCAATTGGAAATTCACACAGGTTGAGTAATTCTCATTTCAAATGCTGTTCAGAAATTTGGAACTTGATTAAATTTTCAGTGAAATATGAACTTTCATTATTTTTTTCCCTAAATAGAATTCAATGAATTATTCCCATGTCAATTGTCCATGAAATATCAATTTATTATTACAATACAACAATAATTTGATATCAAAACGAAAACTTCATTTCAAATTATCTTGACAAATCTAGTAAAGAAAAAGTCAATTATGGCAATAAAAATGATCAATTATATGGATTATTTATTTTTTAATTTTGTATGGATGTAGGGGATGCGATGCACGCTTCATTATTGATTTTTTTTCACTGGATTACAAAGCAATAATTGTAATTGGGGGATGAAAATAATGGCAACGAATTTTTTATCAGCGCAAAGCCCTCGATTACACGTAATAACGAGAGAGAAAACCCGAGAGAGAAAAAATAATATCAGTGGTGTGGAGGGGGTGCGGATCGAGCGACCCAACAGGTTGTCGATTCCCTCGTCTTTTCGAGACAGCTGAGTCCCAGGGTCAATGAGAGAATAGACCCTACCGAAATTCATCCCCTCGGTGGTAAAAAAAAACGACGAGAGAAAGATAGAAATTCGATTCTATTGGTAAATCTTGGATTTGATTTCTGACATTTTCACAAAATGTAAATAAATTTACTATTGAAAAATATCAAATACACCCCTCTCCCTACTTTAAAAAAACCTTTTAATTCATCACAATAAAACAAAAATCGACGAAAAAAAATTTTTTAAAATTTCTAATTCAATGACATTAAGAGAAATTTATGTTGAATTCAAAAACAAATTCATAAAAACATTTGCGAAACCGATGAAACAATGACAATCAACAATAAATTCTCCCGGAGCCAATCAATTCCCCACAACAAAACGAAAAAAAAGTAACAATAATTCCCAGTTGAATTCCGTAAAGAAAAATTCACATCGAATGAAAAAAAAATTGATGAAAATGTCTATAAAACCTCGGAAACGACCAGAGAGAGCAATTAATTCCCCCAAATACAATGAATCCCTCAACAAAACAAAAATCCCCAGAAAAATGACCCAAAAATATAAAAAAATGAATAAAAACATTTTTACAACCCCTGAAGCCATCCGGAACAGCAATAAATTCTCCCGGAGCCGATGAATTCCCCACGAAAAAACGGATTTATAAAAATCATTC